TTATTGATAATTTGAATACTTCTGCCAAGTCAATTTAAGTCAATAGAGCAGCAATAGATAAGAGGATACTGCTTCAGACTGGAAAATAAGCCAGTGAGGTTTGTTTATTTGTTTGTCTGTCTGAGGTAACATCTCTTTCCAAAAACAGGAGGACAGCTAAGTGCAGGCAGCTCTCTCTGCAGGTTCCTCCAGGGACACTGTCCTTAGGATGCATTAATGAGCTCTAGAGTGCTTTTACAGAACAATTTTCTTCCTAGACAATTCAAGATATAGCAAAGCTGGGTCTCTATGACCAATGTACCTGGTTTGCCCACTTAAATGGCATCTTTTTTTTTCTGTTACTTTAATGTCAAACATTTATTTTCTTTTAAAATGTAACCCTCTGTCCACTGATTGAAGAACTATATAGAATCAAAATATCTAGCTTTATTTAATGTTTTATATGAATAGTAGTCCATAATCATCATCATATCATAATAATATTTCAGATGCTCTTAGAGGAAAACAGGTTTTCACATTAAGATTATTTTTTGCTATGGCTAAAATTGCTCTGTGGTGCACTATGTGACTGTAAATAATGTTATTGTTGCTTGTTGAATGAATCCTGTTGAATTACCAATATTGAGCCCTTCATTTGCATTAGCTAATCTTCAGTATTCTGCAGTGTATATATTAAATAATTATTGTATCAATTTTAGAAATAGGGGAGTTGAAACTCACAGAGGCTAAATAATTTGCCCTTGAATTTTCCAACTCTATCTTTGTAACTCATTTACATCTTCTGTCAATCACATTGGAGGAGTAGTGTGAAGAACCTTACCAACTCATCTCTCTGGCTTCCAACTTTGTAGCCACATGTCAACTCTAAGCCTAGAGCAATGCTGATAAACTATAAATACAGAATGTAGAAAGACATAGCTGAGCTCATAATTTTTGACAGTGGCACAAATCAAAGAAAAATGCAAGGGAAGATCCTGGGCTGATCTGAGACCTGTGGACCACTGTGCACCATAGGTAGAGAGTAATGGCCACCCCAACTTGGTGCAGGGAAATGAAAACTGAAAACTTGGAGCCATTGTATAGTAGGTGAAGATCTACAGCCAAAACCACCACTTGAAACAAAAGTGTTGAGAGGGAGACCTCTTCTTCTGAGAAAAGAACAACATATTTATTGCCCATTACTGCTTGAGACTGTCACTTTGGTGCACTTAAGATGTCCAGAGAAAGCTTCAATGGCCATTGAACTAGGAACTGAATCAAATCACTCCCTGATTCAGTGATAAGATGGTAATAATCCAGATGTCAGCATGTAAAATTCCAAATCAATATAAAGCTGATTACAGATGATGTTTCTGGGCCCAAGAAGAGCTCAAGTGCATTTGTAAGAGAAGAATGACGATGAGAGAGGGGATGAAGCTATATCCAAAGACTAAGAAGAGTTAAATAAAAACAATACAGAATTCTCCCTGCTTCTCATGAACTTGCTAAATAAACAGCCAGAAACACACGGAGGCCTAATACTAAGGAAGAGCCAATGAAGCTGACACATGAAAATGAATTTGATCCAAGAGAAATTTAAATATTGAAATATCCTAGTAATCATCACTATTTTTATTGAGATTCTATGCTTTGTAATGCTTTAATGATTGTTTCTCATGCACATAATTCCAACACCACACCTATCACCAGTGTCCCCCAGAGTATATATTGATGTGCTAAATATGAAAGACACAGCATCCGTTTAAAATGCAGAAAATAAAAAGTCTGTAGTATAGCATAGGAACAACTATTAGAATGTTTGCCTTACAAACTGCTGACTTGGGTTTGGTCTTTGGCATCCCATATGGTCCTCCAAGCCTCTCAGAGGTGACCCCTGAGTTCAGAGCCAGTAGTTAGCCCTAAGTCCTGCCAGATGTGGCCCATAAACCAAAAACCAAAGTGTGGTCTAATTGTTTATTATAAATATTTATTAGATAGTACTGTGTTTCTTATAGTGCTAGTTGCTAGAGATGAAACAATGAACAAAATTAAACAGAATCCAAATCCATACAGTCTACAGTCTCGTGGGCAGTTTATCTTTGGTCAAAATGGATTAAGAATAGACAGAAACCATGGAAATGAAAAGCATGGTCATTGAAATAAAATCCTCAGTAAAAGAAGTAATCTATATGCTTTACAAGTTTTTTTAAGTTTACTTTAGAAGATATTACTTAAGGGATCACCTAAGAAGCAGTCATGAGAAGGTAAGATAACTAAAAGAATTTTTAAAAGTATGTATATACTTATATTTTGATATGTAAATGAGAGAGAAATAGCACAAGCATATGTGTATATACAAACATAAAAACTGAGTTTATAACGAATCACAAAACTCAACTTTAAATAAATGCATTCTTAAACATTTTGTAATCAGTGTTAACATTGAGAATAAAAGGTATCTTAACTATCAGAGAAATTTGAATAATTGATTTTTTAAGCTGAGTATTCTTGAGGAACCAAGCCTAGAATGAAAACAATCTCAAATTATTGGTGGGGTACAGGGGTGGGCTATACCATGATGCCCAGGGTTTGCCCTTAGGAGTCAGTCACACCTCGTGGTAGACCAGAAAGGCTGGGAGAAGTGGTTTTGGGCACATGCAGTATTGTGCAGGACTCTCTCTGAGTTCATTCCTGACAGTGTTTGGGGGCCATCTGGCAGCCTTTGAGGTGCTGAGGATCTGGCTAGCCACATGCAAGGAGGCTTAACCTCTATTACTCCTGACCCCTGACACTTAAAAGACATCAAGTTTAACTCCTAATGAAAAGTGTATTAACTATATAAACAATATATATTAACTATATAAACTATACATAACTATGTAAAGAGAATAAGATGACACAAAAATTAGAGTTATATGTGCACATTGGAAATAAAAATACCAAAGATTGTCAGTTTGTAAACAACAGTGTGAACAGGTCTGAAAGAGTGGTCACATCTGTTCCGGTACATTGGGTCAGTGTTGTGGATGACCTTAGCATTGACGTGACAGGGAATTGGAGATAGTGCTGTGGTTAGGGCTCATCCCTCACATGCCAGTTAGATCACACCAGTTGACCTCAATACTTACCAGTCATAGCCCTGGAAAATCCTGGGCATCACGGGCTGTAACCCCTGCTGGTCCCAGCACCACAACCTACGGCCCCTGCCTTGCATGGCTGATCCAATTACTGAAAATGGTTTGAAGGGGTCACCTCTTGAGAACACCAGCCCCCAAAAGAAAGCACTAAAGTGATGAATGCAACTCCAGGTAACGTTTACCCTTGTGAGAGATGTTGGAGCAAGAATGGGAGTATAGAAGAATGAACAGCAAGGCCCTTACTGTATCTGGAACATTTTATTCCTTCATAAAGAGAAACATAAGTACAAAGTGCTAGGATTTGTTAAAGTATGGCAGTGCTTATGTGAGTTTTCATAATATTACCCTGATTATGGACTATGTTACTGAAATGAAAAGAGTCACAGAACTTTTAGGAAAACATGAATTTTAGGCACATCATTGAGTGTACAAATAAGCCAGTCTTTTAACAACAAGTCGTTAAAGCCCAAACTCCTTAGCAGGAGCAATAGATAACATGGGATTCAAGCTAGAGAAATACAGATGCTGTGTGGAAATATTCTTGGGGTTCAAAAGCTGGCCTCAATAATAACTAATTTTGTATGTTGAACTGAACACTTAATCATGCAACCATTTTGAAAATAATTTCACCTCATCAAAATTACTCTCTTAAACATAAATTAACATATCCCATCTTCATGGATTACATCATTCTAATTTCTTGTTTACTTTTAAGCTAGTAACTAACCACACCTCACAGTTTTTGGGAATTGCATTTAATTATTGTGGGCCATTAAGATTCCATCTACTGTTTTAAAATGTCATTACTGAGGATATTAGTGGAGTATAGTCAGTTCATACACTCATACAATAACCATTAACTCCATTTTAAGTGTGCTATTTAAACTATAATAAAATAAAAATTTTTCGACAATAAAATAAAATGATAGCTATCTTACTGTAACCTGACATCACAAAAGAGTATATTCTTAAGGAGGATTTAATTTTCAGCTGCATATTCTGTTTCAATTTTGTATTTTTTCTAAGTCATTCTACACAAGACATGAAAACTTTATTCCTCAGTAGACAGACAACATATTTCTTCAACTTTCATAATATATTCATTATTACAAATATTAATGAGCACTTACTCTGTTGTGTGTTTCTCTAAAGCATTTTATACCATTTACTGATTTAATCTTTTTTTGACAGTCTTGTGAAATGCAAGCTAATATGCTCCCTAACTACAAAAGAGAAAACTGAGACATAGACAAATTAAGTTTTTTTTTTCCTGGTTTTTGGGCCACACCAATGATGCTCAGGGTTGCTCCTACGTGACCCTGCTCTCCTGGCTATGCTGAGTGGACCATTTGGGATATTGGGGAACAAACCCAGTCAGTTGCATGCAAGGCAAGCACCTTATCCACTGTGCTATCTCTCCAGCCCTGTAAATTAAGTCATCTTTTTAAGGCGAAAGAGTATATAATGCAGTTAATGGTAACATTCTATTTTTTTCTGCTTAAAAAAACTGTTGACTTTTTGGTTGTAATTCTATTCATCCTAACTATTCAACATTTTTGTCCATTCGTTTGTCTTTAGAAAAGATTAGTGAAATATTTTCCTGCTTTTGAATCTTTAATAATCATTTCTTTAAATTTGTTTTATTAAGATATAATAGACATGCAATTTAAGTTGGTTTGAGTTGATCTAATGATTTAATATTAGTATATTAAATACTTGGTAAATTTAGCCCTACACAAACTGTTTCTAGTTAATTTTCACCAACAAGTAGTTACAATTTGTGTGTGAGAGAGAAAGGGATGAAAACTAGTAATATCTACTCTCCTAGTAGTATACAATACTATATTATTACTAAAGTGATGATTATTCTGTGGATTCTTACAGAGCATTCTACTTGGACAAGTCAAATTCACCACCAAACTCCACATCCAAGGCTGCATACGTAGATAAGGTAAAAAAGGAAAAAATGAGTGTTTATATGTATTGATAGCTTTGTCATTGACATACATTCCTTAATTTTTCTGCTCATTTCCTCTGAGCAGTGGGTGATGTTAAATATTTGTATTCTTCAGTTGTTATCTCCCTACTAAAACATTTTAGACTATTAATTACAACTTGATGAAGGGCCTGGGGTGTGACTCAGGGCCTTGATCTGATGTCTTGCTCTGTGTGCCAATCCCCCTCCAGGTCCCTGACACCACTGGGCATAGCCAAAGTCCCAGCCCTCCCAATCTCCAAATCAACTTAAATGACTCTGATGACGATTTCATCTAAAAGGATTTCTTTGTACAAAACATGTTGAACTTCATGTTCTTCACTCTTTTTTTCCACAGCTAATGAGGCCTCTCGATGCTTTGGATGAACTTTACCGACTCGTTGCCTCATTTATCAGATCCAAGCGCACAGCTGCCTGTGCAAACACAGCTTGCAGTGCCTCCGGAGTTGGACTACTCTCAGTTTCTTCGGAGCTCTGTAGCAGGCTCGGCGCCTGCCACATCATCATGTGCAACAGTGGCGTGCATCGGTATGTGAACCTATAGCTAGAGGTGACCATTTGCACCCCGGCTATAGGAATATGTATTCATAGCACCCAGACGAATGTGAAATTTGGGAAATTAGGAAATGTTTATGCATTATTTTCTTACTTCCATTTTTTACATTTTCTGCAACTATTCATGTAATGAATGAAATCTTGTGTTTATGTCAGTCACCCAGAATCTTATCACTCCCATGTTCCTATGAAAAATTCATACTTTAGGAACAAAAAGGGTACATCACTTTTGGTCAATGTAGAATTGACTTGATAAGAGCTGAGGTAGACAGCTAAATTTTTTTTTATTGCCTTTGATAATAGACGCTTCACTTCTTAGTGGCTTGGAGTCTTAAATAACCAATTGTTGTTATCTACTTGCTGCTTTGGGGTTACTGTTGTCATTCTAGTTTTGATTAAATTATGACCCATGGCTCATAGAATATGCCCTTTTGGAACTAATAACAAGTCGAAGGTGGGTCCATTTTCTCTAGGTGGTCAGCCTAGGGCTGCCACAATGTAGGTATAGGAATCATATCACAGTATCAAATTGAAATGTGAATGGGGAGCCCAAGTTATTAACTGTTTTATAGAAACTTCTGTCACCTCCTTGTTTTTAGATCAGAAGTGAAGCCACAAAGCTGAGGGCAACAGAGCAACATCTAGCCCTCATTGAAATCCAAGGAGGCAATGAGTCTCTCATTAGCACACCTGTCCTTAATTCAAGTCTGAGGGTGGCAGAGATTAGTACTTAACCATGCAAAGGACCACAATTGGTACCCTTGGCCATATGAGAGAACACAGTAGCACTCAGAGACTTTACATGAATGGAAAAGAGCAACAACAAGAAAAAACATGCAAAAGTAATATGGCATAGTAAAATAGCATAAATAACATCTAAGCTACAAGTAATGATTTAGGAAAGTTTTAGCTACAGGATAAAGTTTGAGAAAGAAACTTGGTGGTTAGAACTGGAAACTTTTAACAGAGGACATGATTTATATTTGAGTTGAGTTTTGATGGGTAAGTATGAAGAAGTAGAAAGGGAAATTGAACCATCCTGGTGACAGATTTATATCGATAAAATTCCTTGGACTTGCTGTGCTCAAATTCTGGTTTCCAAGTCCTATACAGAATGATCTTGCTTATGAAATGTGTTAAGACTTTGTTTCTCTGAGAGAACATTTACATTATGTCTATTTTGATAAAACAGACATAATTTCCCCCTTATTATAATCCCTTGTTCTTTGTGCTCTGTTGTAAGCTTTTTAAGAGCTTAATTGAAAATATCATTTGCAGGCAACTAAACGATTAAAATATTTTACAAAAATTTTTATTAGCAAGGGGGTGATTGTTTTTCCCTTTCAAAGAAACTCATGCTCTTTCATTCTGTTCCCATTAAATCTATGCAGTTATTTATTAAGTACACAGTGAGCATGGGTTGGTGCCAGCACTGCTGCCATCTTTGGGAATGCAGCATTGAGAAAATGTAGTCATCTTCCTCATAGACTTTATATGACTTTGGAAGGAAGCAAGTGATACATAACAAATATTTAATATGGTAGTACTGTATCAATGGCCTTCCGTTGTTCATCAATTTGCTCGAGCAGGCACCAGTAACACCTCCAGTTGAGACTTGTTACTGTTTTTGGCATATCGAATACGCCACAGGGAGCTTGCCAGGCTCTGCTGTGCGGGTGAGATACTCTCGTAGTTTGCTGGGCTCTCCGAGAGAGGCAGAGGCATTGAACCCGGGTCGGCCGCATGCAAAGTAAATGCCCTACTTGCTGTGCTCCAGCCCAGATTTTAATGTGGTAGATGGAATAAATATATAAAAAGGAACTGAAGTCAGAGTTGTAAAAAGAAGACAGGATGGGAAAAGGGATAGCACTAGCCAAAGGAAGGTTTCATTTGTAGGAAATGAAGGGATAAGTTCTGCAAATAACTGAAGGAAAGAAAATTCTGTCAGAGATACTAATGGTACACACAGGAGTGTAGCTGTATGTGATATGTCCAAGGGATAGCCTGTCTCACCCAAGTACCATCAACTGGATTATGCGTCTTCCTGACTTACCCTGGTACAAGATTTGTTTGAGTCATCTGAAGAACAGACTTGCTGTGACAATTAAGGGGAACCTTAAAACTTTGAAACTCAAACCTGCTGCCATGTCAGTCTATAAATTTACTATGAGTGATGTAGTTAAATCTGTTCTCTGATCCTAGTTTCATGACCAACTTATCCAAATTACTCTCTCAGATATTGCATGAGCAGTCTTAGAATTTGATTGATCTTGGATGGGAGAAATTTGAGATTTTGTTTTATGACTGCTCTATTTTTTCGTAGAAGAGAATCACAAGCAGCAGTGAAATTTCCAAATAGTTTGGCTTTCTTCAATTCTATAATTCAAAATAAATATAGAGATGGTCAGTTCATTTTAGAAAAATTCTGTGAGGTATAGGCACAAGTGCTCCATAACAGATGTACTGGATTTAAGACAAATACTATTTGAAACTGATAACTTTTCTTTTTATATTATGCAATGTCACTGTCAATGTCACTGTCCTCCCGTTGTTCATCGATTTGCTCGAGCGGGCCCAGTAACGTCTCCATTGTGAGACTTCTTGTTACTGTGTTTGGCATATTGAATACTCTCGGTAGCTTGCCAGGCTCTTCGAGAGGGGCAGAGGAATCGAACCCGGCTTGGTCAGGCTGGCTGCGCGCAAGGCAAACGCCCTACCGCTGTGCTATCACTCCACTTTTTATATTATGCAATATAAAATGGAAATTTAGCATTAGTTTTAATTTTCAATCAAGACTGTTCACATTTTTCATGATGATAAAGTGTGTGCTAACATATATTGGCATCAGAAATCCACATAACATTATTCCTAAAATGATTCTTTGGTTAACTATAGTCCAGACCACTAGACAGGAACCCTAGTAAATCTGGATCTGCCCTAAATATTAAACATGAAATTTTGCCTTCCAGTTCTGAGAGAGGGACAAGATCATGGTAACAGAGTAAAAAGTAAAAAAAAAAATGTCATTTTACTCTTAAAATCAAGATGAACAATGGTTAACAATATACAATCCACATTAATTTATTTCCTGCCTTTCCCAATTTATTTGAAATATAATATTTTGAAGTATTTAAATATATTGCATATGGTTGTTATTAAAAGAAGAATGTGGTTTTTCAGAGTTAAAAGGCAGATTTAATTAGAGCTAATGTCTAGATGTTTCAATGCCAACTTGAATTAGATGCCAAAATTGCATACAGCAGTGAATGTGAGATTAGTAGGAACAGATTCAGGATGAATTATTAAAGTATCCTTATAGCATTTAGCTTGGATTTGTTTTTATTAGATTCTCTTTCCTTGGTAATCCTTTGTGTGTATCGCCATTCTACTGATGAACTTCCCTGCCCACACACTCTTCAGCAATTCATTTATGTTAAATATTTCCATTGCTGTTGAATAGTGGAAGAATTGGACTGTCTTTTTTTTCAAGATTGAGTTTTTTTCTTTTAAGCAGTATACACACATTAAAAAATAATTTAGTAAGTGGAAATTTCCCCAGATATCTTATATTGAAATATCTTCTTTCATTTTCATTTTTCATTATCTCTTGCAACTTCTATTAAATACACATTTGAATATATTTATATTAGTCTATTACATCGATAGCAACAACAGTGAGTGTTCAAAATACAGACATAGCCTTTCTCATTATCAGTTGTTATTCCAATCAGTTGATACGCACAATTTGTTAATTTTTTCATTTGGTCATTTCGCTTCTTCATTTCCATGTAATGCCTACAAAGAGTAGAAAGGTAAAAATTTTTTACTCTGTGTAGTTTCGTATTTCAATTTTATTATCTATTATATTTAAAAGTCCTGCAGATGAAATTACCGGGTGTCTAGTGTTAATATATTAGATTCCAAAAATGACTCTGCATGGGCATCTGGACAAGGGCTTAGATAGCTGTATGGCACTTTCATGTTCTCCTTGTTTGCAGAGGATGAGCATAAAATTTACATATTATGCTTCCACAAGATGCACAATGCTATTTCAGTCATTCTTAAATATAGACTTTTGGTTAATAGATGAAAACATCTTTTGTATTTCTTTTCCTATAAAATTTTGTGGTATATTTATTTGTAAACCTGCTTGATAAGCTTTTTTATTTTTATTTTTGCCAAACAATGTTTTTCAAATATTGAATCAGCACTGTGGCTTACAAAGTTCTATTTTGTATTCCTGCCAGTTGTTTGTTGCAAGCACTCCAAAGCATGCCACCGGGATTTCTGAATTTCCCTTTTGTTTCACACTGCAGCATCTTTCTAGTCGATGCAGTATTTTATTTTCATCCACTTCTTTATTCCCACCCCTGCTTAATAGCCAACTGTTTTCCTTTAGCTAATATAAATCAGTATATTGCAAATGTTATAAAACCTAAAGCACAAGTCTTACTGTGCCCCAAAACAAAGATGCCATTTCTTCCCACTCTATTAATTTCTGCTTCCTTAGTCAGTGAAACAAATGGGTGGAAATTTCCAGAGCCTACATTTCTAGTGAGGGCAAAAAATTTTGAGCCATAGCATTTCTCTCTAAGGACTTGTTCCAGACAGTTTTCCTCCAAGTACTCTTCTCTCTGTAACTATTAATAATAGGTGCCCCATGCATGGATCTCCTGCTTCTGAATCACCTGTGGTATCTTTAGAACCAAACCTTGAAGGTTTGAACCTTTGGATTCGTAGTATCGTGACATGTCAGATCAGAGAAGCTTCTGCTGGGTGGGGAAGTGATCTGACAGAGAAGGCTGAGAACTTACCATTCATATTATATTGAAATATGAAAATATGTTTCAGTTGCCAAATAATCTGTTAGTAAATATATTTTGGCAATATACCCCTCTTAATAGTCACTTCACACCTAAATGACCTTTGATCTTAATGCTATGTTGTGAAGATAAGTCTGTTCCAGGCCCCAA